TCTCTCTCTCTCCTCCCCCACACACAAGGTGTGTGTCTATCTCTGTCTGCTATGCTGTCTCCCCTCCTCGTGTTCATGCTGCCTTGCATGAGAGGCTATATTAACAACAATCTGTTAACCCTTGAGGTCTCAGCCGAGTGCTAGTTCATCCTTTAGCAGTAAGGCATATCCCTCCCTCTTCCACCCTCTAACTTCACCACCTCGACCAAGCTTCACAATCATCATCGCTATGAACAGTATTAAATTGTTTGTTTAAAACGTATACTGTGTGTATATCTATATACTATACAGTTTTTTGTCTGGTGAAAAAAATTTCCCTGGAACCTAACACACACACACCCATTTACATAATTCTTATGGGGAAATTGGATTCGCTTAACATTGTTTCGCTTAAAGTCGCATTTTTCAGGAACATAACTACAGCGTTAAGCGAGGAGTTACTGTACATACCCAGGGCCCTAAGCAGGCTTGTGCTGTCCGTGTTGCCCCAGTTGCCATGCTATTGTTTGAGCTAGCTAGATCAAAACTAGCTCAGGTATGTCTACATGTGCTGCAGTCAATCATCTGATGCTGTGTAGACATACCCTTAATGTCAATAGATTAAAGTGCCAGTGGATGGCATTCAATAATACATAGCATAGTTCCTGGGTTTTGTAGGACTAATAAAACTTGTTGTGCACTACAAATGGTTTCCTCTGGCAGTTATTTAAATCAGCCCCTAACACTGTACTCCCCCAGTAATGCAAGGCAAACAAACGGAGGTGGGAAGGAGAGGACACCATGCAACTATCCCTCTTTACACTGGCTGCAGAATGGGACCAGCATGTAGGGTGGGAGTGCATGCTGCACCCGATATAGGGGTATGGCAGCCTGCACACTTGACTTGTGTGCCAGGGAGCTGCAGGAGGAATTCTACCTTCCAGTGCCCCGCTCCCCTTGGGTAATACAGCTCTACACCAGTGGTTCTCAACCAGGGGTACATGTACCCCTGGGGTTACGTAGAGGTCTTCCAGGGGGTACATCAATTCATCTAGATATTTGCCTAGTTTTACAACAGGCTATATAAAAAGCACTAGCAAAGTCAGTACAAACTAAAATTTCATACCGACAATGACTTCTTTATACTGCTCTATATACTATACTCTGAAACGTAAGTACAATATTTATATTCCAATTGATTTATTTTATATTATATGGTAAAAATGCAAAAGTAAGACATTTTTCAATAACAGTGTGCTGTGACACTTTTGTATTTTTGTCTGATTTTGTCAGGTGAAACTTGGAGATACGCGAGACAAATCAGACTTCTGAAAGGGGTACAGTAGTCTAGAAAGGTTGAGAGCCACTACTCTACACTACCACAAACACAGGATTTTGCAGAAAGGCATAATTGAGTCTCTGCAATTTAGGAAAGCCATAGAGTAGGAATGGTGCTGTCAGACAAAATAAATCTCTGTTCTGCTCTGAGACACACAATTCTTCTGATTATTCCTCCTCAGCAACTCTCTGTCACACATCCTTTCCTCCTGGTGACTGTCTTTATATTAGCTGTTGTAGCTCCATCAGCTACTGGTTTTCCAAAGAGATTTTTAAAGTGGAAGTTGGAAGCTGTCTCCATCAGGCCTTCCATGAGGGAACGGAGTACAAGCTTCTGGGGTAGAGTTTTTTTGTTTGTTTGTTTTTTAAATTGGGAATACATTTTTTTAAAAAGCACTACACCATGGATGAGAATTTCCTCTTGGTGTCTGATGACATCAGACAGTGCCAACAAGAAATCCTCCTTAAAGCCTTCCATTCAATTCTTAACCCTTTGGAGATATTTTTGATTAATGTTGAGGAAAAGTATAGTTGATTTTTGATGCTCAAGAAAATTGAGGCTACCAGCACTGGCACATGTCATGCAAGATTTCTCCCACAGTCCTAACACACACATCTGCACCACTCCAGACATATGTCTCTCTTGGGCATAGACTGCACAAGGTGCTAATAGTGCCAGATTATGTGAATTTATGGCCAAAACCACTGGCAACTCACTCAGTTGATTCATGACATAAATTGGATTTGAATAAGGGACTATACAACTGGAACACCACTGAGAACCCTGTGCATTAAAGTCCAGTGGTATCAGGGCTGGCTCTAGGATTTTTGCTGCCCCAAGCAAAAAAAATTTTGGTCGCCCCCCCCCTTTTTTTTTTATGCCCCGCGCCCCGCCCCAACTCCACCCCTTCTGAACCCCTTCCGCAAATCCCGGGCCCCGTCTCCTCCCCCGGGGGTGCTGCATTTCCCCCCCATTGCTTCCTGCCAGCTCCCCGCAACCTCCCGCCCTAGCTCACCTCTGCTCCGCGAATCTCAGGCGAGGGAGGGCGGAGAAGCAGAGCAGCGGCGCATTCAGGGGAGCAGGCGGAGCGGAGGTGAGCTAGGGTGGGGGGCGCAGGAAGTAACGGGAGGGGTAGAGGAACAGCTCACCTCCGCTTCACCATCGCTGCCTCCCCCGAGCACCCCCCCGCTCGGCTTCTCCTCCCTCCCTCCTTCCCAGCCTTGCTGCGCGAAACAGCTGTTTCGCACGCAGAAAGGCTGGGAGGGAGGGGGGAGAAGCGGAGTGGCGACGGCGCGCTCAGGGGAGCAGGCAGAGGTGGAGCGGAGGTGAGCTGGGGCAGTGGGGGCACTTTTTCCCCCTGCCCTGGAGTCGGCGCCTATGATGGCTGGTGCCAGAATGCCGCCCCTAGAAATGTGCCGCCCTGCTTGTTTTGCTGGTGCCTGGAGCCAGCCCTGAGTGGTATTCTGAAAAGTGACCATGTAAAAACACAGCATTGGGACTATTTTAGAACAACTAACAGAAATATCAAAAAACACAAGACCTGGTAGTAATGGAGGACTTTAACTACACAGACACCTGTTGGACAATAAAAATGGCAAAACACAAAGTTTCCAATAAGTTCTAAAAATGTATTAGGGACAACTTTTTGTTTCAGAAGTGGAGGAAGTAACCTGGGGGACAGCCATTTTAGATTTGATTCTGGCCAAGAGGGAGGAATTGATAGCGAATCTGAAGGTGAAAGGCAATTTGGGTGACAGTGATAATGAAATCATAGGTTTCATGATTCTAAGGAAAGGAAGGAATGATAGCAGGAGAATAAGGACAATGGACTTCAAAACTCAGAGAACTGGTAGATAAGGCCCCATGGGAAAAAAATCTAAGGGATAAGGAGTTCAGGAGAGCTGGTGATTTTTCAAGGAGACAATATTAAAGGGACAACTGCAAAACTATCCTGATGCGAAGGAAAGATAGAATTGTAAAGGGCCAATATGGCTGCATCAGGAGCTCTTTAATGACCTGCGAAGCAAAAAAGGAATCCTACACAAATTGGAAACATGGATGAATGCTAAGGAGAAGTACAAAAGAACAGCACAAGCATGTAGAGACAAAATCAGAATGGCTAAGGCACAAAATGAGTTACACCTAGCAAGGGACATAAAAGGCAATATAAAGAAGTTCTTTAAATATATTAGGCTCAAGAGAAAGATGAAGGAAAGTGTAGGTCCCTGCTTAGCATTAAAGGAGAGAGAATAACTGATGACATCAAGATGACCGGGGTGTTTAATGACTATTTTGCTTCAGTCGTCACTAAAAATAATACGGGTGAACAGATATCAACACAATTAACAAAAAGGGGGAAGGAACACAAGCCAAAATAGTGAAAGAACAGGTTAAAGAATATTTGCATAAGTGAGATGTATTCAAGTCAGCAGGGCTTGATGAAATTCATTCTAGGATATTAAAGGAACTAGCTGAAGCAATCTTGAAACCATTAGCAATTATTTTTGAGAACTCCTGAAGGACAGATGAGGTCCCAGAGGACTAGAGAAGGATAAATATAGTCCCTATTTTTAAAAAGAATAAAGAGGACCTGGAGAATTATAGACCTGTCAGCCTAACTTTGATACCTGGAAAGATATTGGAACAAATTATTAAACAATCAATTTGTAAGCACCTACAGAATAATAGGGTTATAAGAAAGAGTCGGCCTGGATTTGTCAAGAACAAAACATGCCAAACCAACCTACTTTCCTCTGACAGGGTTACTGGCCTAGTGGATGGGGGGAAGCAGTAAGACTTTTGATACAGTCCCATGTGACATTCTCATAAGCAAATTTGAGCAATGTGTTCTAGATGGAATTATTATAAGGTGAGTGCATAAATGGTTGAAAGACTACTCAAAGAGTATTGTCAATGGTTTGCTGTCAAACTGAGAGGGCATAGCTAGTGGGGTTCCGCAGGGGTCAGTCCTGGGTCCAAAATGATTCAATATTTTCATTAATTGCTTGGATAATGTAGTGGAGAGCATGCGTATAAAATTTGAGGATGACACCAAGCTGGGAGGAGTTGCAAGCACTCTGGAGGATAGCATTGAAATTCAAAAATGACCTTGACAAATTGGAGAATTGGTCTGAATTCACAAGATTAGATATGGTGTGTGATTCCTACACCTATTATAATATACATTTTGGAATCTTAATTTACAGCATTCCCTAAACAGTTTTTTGTTTACTTTTATTAAAACATCTCCACATAAAATCTTTGTTTAATCCCACAAAGCCATCATTGGAGTTTGAGGTTAAGCAAAATTAATACTACTGTAGTAACTAAAGAAAACTATGTAAGGTCAAGAAATCTGATGCTGTTATGTCCCATCACTGTGCTGTGTAATAGATCCAGATGAAATCCTAATAACATTTTATTACCAATAATGTTCTGCTCATAGAGATGAGAACAGCATCTGAAAAACACATGTTAAGAAATTGCATCTAAAAGTTTTATATACATTTAAGTATTCAATAGCAAAAATACAAGAGCTCTCCTTTGTTTAAATATACTTCCTGCCTTCTTTATTGTTACATACTGTGTTGTGGCAGACCTATTTATAGTCCAAGAAAAGGAAAAATCTCCACTGGAAGCAGAAAAACTAAGTTGGGAAAGAATAGCAGGAAGTGTGACTGACATTTAGCCAAACAATCTAGAACTAATTGGGCTCAAAAGCTCTCTAGCTTTACTGTAGCTGCTGAGTGTAAACCGAGCACAATTATGTTTTTCTCTTCAGAATCGTTAAAACAGGGTGGGGGTGAATAATAAAAATAATGTAAGTACTGAAGAAGAGCAAAGAAAAATCTCAGCAGCTCAACACGTGTAAGAGAAGTTATTGTGGGGGGAAAGAAGACCTATACAGTACTGAAAAGGGGTGGACTGTGTCAAATTAAGGTCAGTATCTCCTTTGGCATTTCTGCTTGCTGTACTCTTAATGCAGTTGTCCATGGTTTTGCAGTCTAGCAGCTAGTAATAACCTAGTGATATGTTTGTGTGGCAAAATTCATTCTTCATACATTTTAGTATGAGCTTTGGAGAATGAATTTTGCCACACAAACATATTACTAGGCTTTTAATTGATAACGCTTGCTTGAGAAATAATTGTGGTTTGGTTATAGATCCTTAAGAGTTCCTCCTAAGCAATAGAAATCTTTTCCAAACAACTACTATTAGATAATTTTGCTATTTCCAATACATTTGTCTTCTGTTTGAGCTTACAGTTATTAATTATTACAGCCATTTTGATGGAAGCTTTTTTCCTATGAAGAAAAACATGAAGTCAATGCCAAAAGGTACATTATTAAAAATGTCACAAAATAAAAGATTTAATCTTGTCAGACATGTCCATACAAAAGAATCAACCTAAAATGGAGGCATCTGAAAATTTATATTGTTCTTAAATACACGATGGCAAATTACATGTTTGGGATTAATTTATTATTTGCTTGCTTATTTAATTTCAAAATGATGCAGCAGCCATTGCAAAGTCCAGTGTAATCAATGGCAGACTGAAATAGATTAGAAAATGTAGGCCTTTTGTTTTAGTGTATTATTTACACATTTTATATCATGTCATGACAAACATAACCTGAAATCTCTATAAAAGCTACATTGTAAAATGTCAGGATATAAAATATATCATCTTATTGGATGGGTACTAAAAAGAACAGAAGACTCTTAGAGGAAAGACCTAAAAATACAGATTTTCACTCAGTGATGTTTATCTAGATTAGGTTGCTTTTTGTTTTCTTCATTTCAAAATTGCTTTGCCTCTTGCCAGAATAGGAGATGGTAGTGTGACTTGAAGGCAAAATGGTAGAAATACAAGCTATAAAATACTGAAATATTCAGTGATCTCCACATGGTATGGATAGTACTATGGGGTTTTCACCATTCTTGAATTAATCTTGAGAGTGATCATTATATTTGTTTCGGTGATGTTCTGTATTATGTCTATCATGGTACAATCCCAATTACTCATGTTATTAAGGATTAGTGTCTTATTGTAAAATGTTCCTGGTGAGGAAAAGAAAAGGAAATGTGTATGCTGTTACACTGCTTTATCCTGGTAGGATGCTGTTATGTTTAGAGTCTGTTGTTGTGAAGATAGCAAGGCAGGATGTCTGCTGATACACATGGAGGTGAAAAGCTGGGATAAGACAATGGTAAATAGTGTCAATCAGTGCTGTTTACTAACGGCCCAATCCTGTGTAGTGCTGAGCTAAGATGTCAATGGAATTTATGGTTATCCAACACTTCATGGCATCAGATCCCTTAATCTATCTGGTTTAAAGCACTGCTTGTTTCCTTACAACTGTTGTCTTTACTAAGAGATTGTGGTCCTGCTCCTATAAGGTGTGGAGCATCTCTGGTGAGAATGAAGTCAATGGCAATATAGATGCTCAGCACAGCACAGGATTGTGGTCTATTAAAATATTTGCAATGGATACCTTGGCAGATACAATTGATTTTTGTGGAAAAGGTTTAGTTAATTTGTTCTTACTCACCATTACTTATGCTTGACTTCAGTAAAAGTTTTGTCTGCATAAGGACTGAGTAAAAACTGAGAGAGGACATGGCTCATAGCATTTAAGTCGAAAAATGATAAATTGCGCAACCCTTATTAACACAGATGAGTTCTTGCTCACTTCAGTAGGGCTACTCAGATGAGTAAGTGCTCATCAAACTGCGTAAGGGTTGCAAAATCTATTCCTAAGTGAATGCAATTGATTTCATTAATATTAACAGCTAGGCTTCAGTGACCCAACTGAACAGCGACACTATTCTCACTTTGTGCAATGCATGTCTATCAGCCTTGTTAATTCCAGAAAATATAGGATAACTTGATCACTTTCTCCGCATAAATAGTCAAACATTCAGAATTTTTCTGCTCTGAGATGTTCACTACATTATTATTTAAAAAGTACATTTGGCTTGCACGTGTGTACAAAACCTGAGACTATTGTTTAGCCAGGAAGAGGAAAACTGTTTGGGAACCAGCCATTTTATATTGTTAGTTTGAAATAGTTACATGGCTTAAAATGACAGAATAGTGTACTGAGGCAGTTTCATGTGCACCTATGAAAAAAAGAGAGTATATTATAGAGTTACTTGGAAATTGTCATTCCGTATTCTTTATGAAAATATCCCTATGATACGAATATGACATAACTGAGATATACTTTATTCAAGATAGCTCATGTGAGATATCATTGGAAAGGTTATGATTTACTGAATGTGATTATCCTATTTGTATGCATGTATCCTTTCTGTATCTGAAATTAGGAATATTAACTATGTACTTGTATTTCAACTATGCTACTTTGGGTGACGCCAACTGCCAACACTTTGGGTACAACAATGGAAAAGCCAGACAGGATGGATGGCCCATCAACAAGGACAATGGACTGTAAAAGAGCTTAGGCCTTGGCTACACTCAGGACTTCACGGTGCTGCCGCGGCAGCGCTGTGATGTGCGAGTGTAGTCGCGCCGCCAGCGCTGCAAGAGAGCTCTCGCAGCGCTGTATGTACTCCACCTCTCCGAGGGGAATAGCTTGCAGCGCTGCAGTCTCTGATTACACTGGCGCTTTACAGCGCTGTACTTGCTGCGCTCAGGGGGGGGGGCGTTTTCACACCCCTGAGCGCAGCAAGTTGCAGTACTGTTCAGCGCCAGTGTAGCCAAGGCCTTAGTCTTCCTGTGAACCTGTGGGTCAGCCTGTGAAGAATGGCTACAAGGGCCCTACAGAGTCAGGTGATGCTAAAACATTACCTGGGATTTCATGTAACTTTCCACTGTAAGGGACGAAGGGAGTGTGTGTGTCAAGCTAGAAACAAAGGACTCCCGCCTTATGCAAATCCTATTTAAGCGTGGGGAGTGAGGTAATTTAGGTAATCAATTCTCCCCTGTTACCCCACCCAAGATGACTGCTGGAAACAAATAAGACGGAACACGGGGAAAGAACTGGGCCCAGGCTGGAAGGGTATCTGGCCTGTGAAGAAGATTATTAGAACCACATTTGGGTGAGAACTCACATGTGACCAGTCTCTTAGTATATTAAGCTTAGTTTGCATGCTCTGTTTTAGTAATTTGCCTTGTTCTGTCTGCCACCTCCTTAACTACTTAAAATACACCTGTTATATTAATAAATTTATTTCTGTCTTATAATATAACCCAGTTTATGTGATTTCTAACTGGAAGGGTGAGAAATTTTGCATACCCTCTTCCACATTGAGGGAAGAGGCGAATATAATATATCTTTGGGCTTGTATGCCAAGGGAGGTCGATATCTGAGTGCTGGAGCAAGTCCCTGAAGCTGAGTCTTCCCAGAGCTGATCTGCAGCTGGGTGTGGCCCTGCCTGTGTGTGTGTTAGAGGAGGTTTTAAGAGTCTGGCTCAGCAACACAGGTAAAAGGGGGCACATGCTGACAGAACAAGTAGACTCAGTGGTATCTCAGCACATCAAGTGACTTCCCAAGGGGTCCAACATGTCACACATACTTTTAGTAAATTCATACTCTTAGAAAGGAGAATTGGGGACAAAATTCTGATCATATACACTGATGCAAATCCACTGAAGTCAATACAGTTACTCTTGTATAACCGAGGAAAGAGTTTGTCCCACGGGGTTAAGTGCACTCAGCATAGCAGACTACCCACCCACTCTTCTCTGTTTCTCACACTATGGGGAATGCAAAGCTGGTGTAAAGCTACCTTTATCCACTCCCACACCGCTTCACACCTAAACTCAGCATGGGAACAGAGCAACTGAAAATCAGGGTCATTGTGTCTGCAGTACTGCCAACATCAAGTGCTCAGAAATTATGAGTCAAGCTCCAAATAATCATGAGATTGTCTTAAAAACCATGAGACTTTTAAATACAATATGTGTCAGGTGCTTTTTATTTGCCTTTTTTTTGGTCTTTGACATTTTAGGGTTAATGTTGTCAAGCTTTTCTCCGCAACCAAGAAAGCTAGAACTTGAGCTGAAATAAACTGAGATTCTTATAGAATCACATGATTCCGGGAGTTGGGGCTCTAAGAAAAACACCAAATATAATAAGACTTGCATTAACATTACTAGGGCTGACAATACTGTGTCTATGAGCTCACTAGCTTCAAAACACTATTTGTAGAATAAGGAAATATATATCAAAAGGAGGGATTCTGTACTGATGATGTAACAACCCCCAAGAGAGAGCAGTAAGCCTTACTCTGCAGCCACTCCAGAATATATAATATACTCTGATTTTACAGGAAACAATAGACATGTTCAAAACATATAATCCAGAAGGATTTTATAACTATTTTGTGAGATTCATAGATTCCAAGGCCAGAAGGGACCACTGTGATTATCTAGTCTGACCTCCTGTATATCACAGGATAAAGAACGTCCCCAAAATAACTCCTAGAAAATATCTAGTTTTGATTTTAAAATTGTCAGTGATGGAGAATCCACCTCAAACCTTGGTAATTTGTTCCAATGATTAATTATTCACTGTTAAAAATGTATACCTTATTTCCAGTCTGACTTTGTCTAGCTTCAACTTCCAGCTGTTGGATCATGTTATACCTTTCTCTGTTAGACTGAAGAGCCCATTATTAAATATTTGTCGTCCCCCCCCCGCCCACAGGTACTTATAGGCTGTGAAAAAGTTGCCCCTTAACTTTTTATTTATTTAGCTAAATAAATGGAACTCCTTGAATCTATCACTATAAGGCATGTTTTCTAATCCTTTAATCAATCACTTCCAGTATCCAGATAAACTCCTTTTAGTGACCACAGGCATTGACACACCTAAGACTTTTACCTTTAAAAATGAAATAGAATATTGGTAGTGACAGCAACTTATTAGCATCTGACGGGTGTTCAGCAATCTATGTGAAATGACTTGGTG